TTTCGACATGGAGTATATTAGACAAAAGTTGTTTAGAACTATCTAGCGAGTTCAAAAACATAAGAATATACAAGGAGTTTCTAGTTAAAATAAGAATGTCGAGGTTATTTCCGGTGAAACCGCTTTGCGAAATTGCTTTTATACAGTAGTTTCATTGTCACTCCGTGTATTGTATATAAAATGAGTAGTAGTGCAAAGGTGAGACATATCCCTGAAACCTTAAATTCAAATGCTTAGTAGATACAAGGAAAATTGGTTACATATTAAACCATAATCTTTATCTTTTTTATTTAAACAACACAAAGTAAAATTGGCACAATGTAAAGAATTGTATCAAAATGCATCGCTAAATTCCTTGCATGTTTTGTGCAACTAATTACATCATCCTCAATTCTAACATTAAATCGAGGTTCAATGTTGTCCCTGTTGCCTGTGACAAAAAAGAAGGCAATTTGAAAACCACGCTCCAAATAATTTTGAATCTCTATTTTCATTAATTATTTATTTGTTAGACATTCGCTCCTTGGCAAATCTAGACTTTGAAGAAAGGAAGTCACTAGAAAGTTGTCTGTGATTAAGAGATAAAAGAATATTTCCGAGATGGCCTTTACAATAGCAGCTGTTCGTTGAATAATGTATTTATTGAATTGAAAATTGAAACAAATGGGAAGAGGCCTGCAAAAATGTGGAACAATATATAGGAGGAACGCGTAATTCAGAATCCTGGCGTCTAATTAAATCTCTTAGAACCAATAGGAAAGAAAAAGTACATCTAGAATACTATGTGGGAAATATACTACAAAAAACTGCTAACAGAGGATAGACCTACTTTTATTGGAGAAAACTCGGAGACAACATCAGACGAACAAAAGGATATAGATCTTAGCTTAGAAGAAGTAAAAATGGCCATTAAAAATATGAAGAATAATAAAGCTGCCGGCCCAGGAGGCATTGTTCCTGAACTAATAAAATACGGATCAGAAAAACTATACCGAATGATACACCAAATGTTTCTAAGAGCAATAAATGGAGAACAACTACCAAAAGAGTGAACAACTGCATATATGACATCGATATTCAAACAAGGCGACCGTAAAAATTGCGAAAATTACAGAGGAATTAGCGTAATATCATCTATGGGAAGACTATATGGAAAACTCGTAAAGGCAAAACTAGAAATAGAAATAAAAGGCAAAATTGGAGAAGAACAAACAGGTTTTACGGCGGGTCGATCTTGTATAGACCACATATATACACTACAACAAGTGATAGAGAAGAAAATGGCTAAAAATAGAGCGGTTCACTTAGCCTTTATAGACCTAAAAAAGGCATAGGACACCATACCCAGGGGGATACTATGGAAGGCAATGAAGACCATCGGATTGCCACAAAAATTAATAGAGACCGTTAAAAAAATGTTTGAAAGAAACCAAATATCTATAAAAATCGAAGATAGACTCTCAAAAAGCTTTAAAACAACAAAAGGGCTGCTACAAGGATGCTCCACATCACCAACATTGTTTAAAATATTGGGTTGTTCGGAAAGTCATTTCGTTTTTTTTGGGGAACATGAAAGACAGTTTTCGTATAATGAATAAATATTTTATTAAATTTTATATTGGCCATTCTGGTCCAACACCTTTTGCCATCTTTCTGGCAGTAACATAATTCCCCTCTCATAAAAGTTTTGGTCCTTGCTGACAAAAAACTGGTTCAGGTGGTTTTTGACATCTTCATTTGAGGTAAAGGTTTTGCCATCCAAAAAATTTTGCAGGGACCGGAACAAATAGTAGTCGGAAGGCGCCAGATCTGGAGAATATGGTGGATGTTGCAGTACGTCCCATTCAAGCTGTAAAAGTTTTTGGCGAGTGACCAAACTTGTGTGAGGTCTCGCATTATCCTGGTGGAACACTACACCCTTCCTGTTGATTAATTCGGGCCTCTTCTCTTTAAGTGAATCATTCAATTTGTCCAGTTGATGACAATAGACTTCTGAATTAATCGTTGTATTGTCCGGCAAAAGCTAAAAAAAAACGATTCCTTTGACATCCCACCAAACGGAGAGCATCACCTTTTTTTGGTGAATGTTGGCTTTTGACACGCTTTGAGCCGGTTCATCTTTTCTGCTCCATGACCTCTTGCGTTTAACATTGTTGTATACAACCCATTTTTCGTCCCCAGTAATAATCCGCTTCAAAAATGGATCATTTTCTTGACGTTTGAGGAGCGAATCACACACGACGACGACACAAATTTCGCTCCGTAAGGACATGGGGCACCCACACATCGAGCTTCAAGGTTAAGCCCATGCCTTTCAAATGGCCATAAACAGTCGAATTCGACAAATTTAATCTCTCACCGATCTCTCGTGTCGTTATTCGCCGATTTGTATCAACTAATGCCTTTATCGCATCTTTGTCAGCTTCGACCGGCCTTCCAGACCGTGGTGCATCTTCGACATCAAAATTGCCGGATCGAAATTTTGCAAACCAGTTCTGGCACTGGCGTACTGTTAACACGCCTTCTCCATACACATCTGTCAATTTTTTTCTCGCTTGGACAGCATTTTTACCTTTTCTGAAGTAAAAAAGTAAAATATGACGAAAATGCTGCTTATTGCTCTCCATATTTAAAAGGGCACCAACCAAAAACTACTGCGTAGAATTAATAGAACTTTTTCACACACAAGCCTTGCAATATCAGCTCTCAAGACATATAATGATTATGCGGCTTAAGTCTGAAGTTGGTTTCGAAAAAACGTAATTAAGTCCTCTGACGGGAAAAAACAAAATGACTTTCCGAACAACCTTATATTTCTAGAGGAGATCTTAAAACCATGGAAGAAAAAATGTGAACAAATGGGAATTCCATTTAGAGGCGACTGTCTTTACACTTTAAATTTCGCGGACGACCAAGTTGTACTCGCACAAGACGAAGAAGACCTAAGTTACATGTTACGAAAACTGAAGGAAGAATATGAGAAAAATGGAATGGAAATAAATTTTTCGAAAACGGAACAACAGAAGATGGAGAAAACTACCTACAAGTCGATGAAAATCATCAAATAAAGAGAACCAAAAATTTCAAATACTTAGGTTTCATAATATCTCAAAAAGGGACAACAGAGGAAGAAATGAACAGTAGACTAGGCCAGACGCAAAACTGTATCAGACAACTAAATCCAATACTCTGGGATAGACACATCACTCGACTCACCAAATCACATATATTTAACACCATAGTACAGAGCGTAATGACATACGGCGCGGAAAACTGGGTGATCAACAAAAAATACAAAAGTAAAATTCAGGCCACTGAAATGGAATACTGGAGGAGAAGTTGTAGAATTTCGAGAATAGACAAAGTAAGAAACGAGGAGATCAGGCAGCGAATGGGTGTCAAGAAAGACACCTTAACATTGGTAGAAGGAAAAGGGGTAGACCCAGAAGATCTTGGAGGGATGAAGTAAATGAATCTATGGAAAAAAGAGGTACCGGAGATGAATGGCAGGACAGAGATAGATGGAGGCGTAGGTTGAGAGAAGGGAGACAGCGACAGCTGTAAAAAACCCTATATATATATATATATATATATATATATATATATATATATATATATATATATATATATATATATATATATATATATATAGTATATATATATATATATATATATAACATTCGAAGTGTTTTCGGAGCGCGAGCATTGAAGATGCCAAGTGAGATTTTGGCGAAACGTCTGCAGGATTCCAGTCGGATGCAGGATTTGCAGGATTCCAGTCGGATGCAGGATTCCAGCCGGAGTTCGACGAGTGAACGGATGATATCCCGGAGTATAGTGTCATCATATATATATATATATATATATATATATATATATATATATATATATATATATATATATATATATATATATATATATATATATATATATATATATATATATATATATATATATATATGTGTATATATATATATATATATATATATATATATATATATATATATATATATATATATATATATATATATATATATATATATATATATATATATATATATATATATATATATATATATATATATATATATATATATATATATATATATATATATGATGACACTATATTCCGGGATATCATCCGTTCGCTCGTTGAACTCCGAAGTGTTTTCGGAGCGCGAGCATTGAAGATGCCAAGTGAGATTTTGGCGAAACGTCTGCAGGATTCCAGTCGGATGCAAGATTTGCAGGATTCCAGTCGGATGCAGGATTCCAGTCGGAGTTCAACGAGCGAACGGATGATATCCCGGAATATAGTGTCATCACATTTTTCCATCCGTGAATCAATACGTGAGAATATATATATATATATATATATATATATATATATATATATATATATATATATATATATATATATATATATATATATATATATATATATATATATATATATATATATATATATATATATATATATATATATATATATATATAAAGCGGGAACCGTATGGAACGCTATCTTTTATCTAGAGAATAGAATTCTGTCGACAATAAATATTGTGAAGATTGCAGCAATTTTCTTTAAATATGCATCGTCGAAATCCTAGTAGTTGTATCAAAACGAAAGTTATAATTAAATTCGCTTAAGTTTACTGGCGGAGATTACTTGTTGTGTGACAGGTGTCTTTACTCTGTATCGATAGACTCACGTTGTAATTAAAATTTTATCCCTTGCGTTTGGGGGTTGCAACTTTTCTAATCATCAAGTTAAACACAATTAAAATCTCGTTTATATTGCTTTCGAATTCGTCTTGTTTTATGCCTTGGATACGAGACAGGGACGAGAGAAAGAGAGAGAGTGTTTCGTTTAATATAAAAATATGGTTGTTAAAAAAACATAACATTTTGTAACTGAAACTCACTGAGTTAGATTTGAATTTCAAAGCGCGGGTTTCGGTAATATAATGTTAACATGTTAACTACTGTTTTTGTTTCAGTTTTTCGGTTTGCGTCGGAATCGTAGAGCAATTGGCGCGCTGTTGTTTGGCAGTAAGGGGTCCTGTCCACGACACAGCACCTGCTTGCTCATTTCTACTGGCGGCACTAGAATTTCTAGCAGCTCTTGCCGACCATTGTCCCGAGGATTCGGATCCCACTCATTTGGTAATTCTTTGTTTATGATAGATGAATCTTGCGCTATTTCGTCCAAAACATAAACATAAATAACTATAGGTTAGTGATTTACGGGACCATTGCCCATATCATCAAATCGCTACAAATAGTTTTCAGCACATAGGACACAGAAAACTAGCGAACAATAGACCAAGACGAAAATTGTACTAAACAATATCGCTGCAAAAATTAAGAATTTTAGAACAGTATTAAATTAAAAAATATACCATCGCATTTAAATTAATTGAGGACAGTTTTTAATTTTAGACAGGTTCTACGAAACCGTGACCTACAATTTTTAATGTGTTATTAAAGGCGAGTTTTTTGATTATTAATTCGAAGTGTCACCTATTCCAACTTATAGCTTCTCAAAGCAAGAAAAGACGTTGTTGTATTCTAGATTAGTACGCTTCATGGTACGGAACTTTTGGGTTGCGTGTCTATGCTGTACGGTTCCCTATTGCCACCCGACTCCACCCCTCGAGTCGAAGGTCATATCCCTCCACCAATTCCGCCACTATGTCTAAATCTTGCCACCGCTACTGTGCGATTGTTGAGAAGAGTTGCCGAGTTGGATCTCAACAAATTTCAAGTAAGTTTCTTTTTTATAATTATTAAATGACAATTTTTTCGGCAGTAAAATGTTTAATACAATGTTTATATAAATTGGTCCCTAAAATCTGGAAATTTGGAAACACCCTGTATTATGAACATATTACAGAAAACAAATAATGTAGGTAAAACGTAAAATGCGCCAAAAGACATAATCTGGTTAGCTATAGATTGTTGTCCACGTTTTTCATATGAAATACATACATTGGCATTTTTTTTTCTTCTAGTTATCAAAATTGCACTAATCGTTATGATGGAAAGGTACACTTTCTAGCTTTGCTTTCTCAAGCCCGGCCCAATGTTTAAACACCGTTGTTTGCAAACGGTCGAGTATCTGGTTTTAATTGAATCATATCGGTATAATCCCCGATGATGTTGAAAATTAGCTTTGCTTAAAGCTAATTCGTTCAAACGGACACTATGCCCCGTCAACTGAATTGATTTCGGTGTGGTCCCGAGGGAGGAACGCGCGGGTTGTAGGATGATGCCGCGTCCGCACGCACATGCAGCCCTCTGTTTATCTTTCGAATTGGGTTGTCTTTTCCCTCGAACGAGACCGCAAATTTATTCATAGATAATTCCGGGTAAAGACGGCGAATGTGTAGCGAACGACGAAACAAAGTGCAATAAATATTTGATTTTGGTGATTAGCTTCTCGACGATGATACATGTCGAGTAAATTTTGAAATCGAGTGAATCGTGAATACGAGTGGAATGATTCATTATACAGGTTGATTTATACGTTATAGAGCAACGCTTAATCCTATCAGTCTTAATTAACTCAACCTTTACACTAATTAATGTAGAGGAGCACAAGGTTGTTTCTTTTATCTTGAGTTTACTACTCCACTTTAAAAGATGGATTACTGTTGAATGGCCTGATTGATAGGATGATCTGTTGCTGTATTGTGGATAAGTCATGAAACACCCGTTATAATGAATAATTACACACGTATTTACGATTACCTCTATTTCATTTTTGTGGGGGTGGCAGAGAAGTTAATTTATGTAGAGAAGGAAAAGGTTGTTTCTTTTCTCTTTGAGTTTACTATTCCACTTTGATAGATGCATTCCGGTCGGAATTTTCAATTTCCTGATTGATAGGATCACCTGTTACTCTACGGTGGATAAGTCATGAATCACGATTACCTCTAGTTCTTTTTTTTTCAAAGAAACTTCCATAGGCTACTGTAATACTTTTTACAAAACTTCTGGATTCCTGCTGCGTCGGTTTTTGCTCGGTCGAACTTGCTGACGTTTCGCCAATCATCCTGTTGGCTTCTTCATAGCTTGACTGAAACTGGCTCACATTTTATTCTGTACCTGCTTATATATTGTTTGAGGGGGGCGGAACTCAATGAGGGGTATAAACACCATCTCGGATGACTGATTCTCATATTGGTGACAGGTAGGGACCTCTTAATCTTTCTAACTGAGACTCAGCTCAGCAAGTTCGACTCAGCAAAGCAGGAGGAATCCAGAAGTTATGTAAAAAGTACCTCTACTTCATTTTTGTGGGGAGAAAGAGAAGCTAAATTATCTAGAGAAGCACAAGAATGTTTCTTTTCTGTTTAAGAAAGATTCATTTCATTCATTTATAAATAATTGCTATAATTCTTAATCCGGGTAAGATAATCATATCAAAATTCGAATTAAAAACTAAATGATGACTTATTTTGTTTATTATTTTTTACCCTGTAAAGCTCACGACTCTTTTGACTCCATACTATAAAAAGTAATCCTTTTGCGTAGAAAACGTTTTCCTGATTAATATTCATATCTCAAGCCTTTCGTCTTTATGTCTTGCATATAAACGTATGAAAACATGCATCCTTAAATTGTCTCATGACCTTTGCGAAGATTGTTCATCTGTTCTCTCAAAATTCTCTCCTGCTTCGAATGCTGATAGTTGTACACCGTTTTTAAGTTTGTTCGTCATTTCAAATGATTCTCTGAGGAAGACCGTTAGACGCCCATCATCTAATTTTCTTGCTTTCAATTTACTTTTTTTTTGACAAACATTATTTTTAATGTTCCTGTGTGTTTGTCTTTATAAGATTAGCTTTGGACTAGCTTAGGCGATGTTGTTGTGGGTCCTCTGTTTAAGACGTCTTTAAATTTAAAATATATAATGTTGGTTATTATATATTTTTCTTTTTATGCTGATTTGAATTTATCGTATACCCATTTATACGCATTTTTGTGTTGAGAAAAGAGAACAGAGAAAATAATAAATAAAGTTAATGAATTTTATTATTTTTTTCCTGTTTTTCTGTTATCCAAACCAACCGCCTCTTACGACATATTAGCCCGATGCTTTTGGGACCAATAACCAATAACCCTTTCTATGTATAAACAGATAAACATGTACTGTCTCAACCAGTGTTGTCCCCATTAAAATTAGTTTCTGTCTTTATGATACTGCACAACTAATTTAAATAAATTTAACTCTATCTCATTTTTAGTAAGTATAATATTGAAATGATGAATAGTCCCTGGCACAAATAAAATTAACATTAGAAGTTTATGTTATGTTTATGTTTTTTTTTGTTCAATAAGATATTTTTTTATTGGCGAAATATAACAAATTATGAGCCTTTACATAAATATTAAAGCACGCATAGAAACATTGGAGTTAGATCTGGCCATAGCGTGGTACTCCGTAATGGTATATTATAATGTTCATTACGAAATGTTATTTTTTTCCCTTTAGTATGACGAAATAGATGTTTTTAATAGCTTTTATGTAAGAAGCAGGAAAGTTCTGTGATTTTCTGCCAATCTAAAATTTAAATCTAATGATAATTAAGTTATAGCCCAGTTTAAATGCGATTTTGATTTGGATTTCTTTTTTTTAAATGACGACTTGTTTTGTTCGCAAATTAATGAAAAACTCGCCAACATATTATAACTTGAGCCGTTATAAGTCGCTAGAGAAAATGTAAATATTTTTCTTAATTATTATGAATGGCCTCAAAAGTAAGAGTGCCCCAGAAAGCTAATTATTATCCACGCTTCAACCTAGTTCTTAGTTCCGCATATTATATACCCGCGGGACATCTAGAGCCGCGTGCTCGTCTAAGTATCCCTGTGGAATTCCCGACGACCCTCTGAGGGATCGCAGGGTTAACGCACACGCCGTTAATCACTCGTAACGGTAACTGAATTTTTAGGAACTGCTTTGTGGTCTCCCAAGTATTCAAACAACAGATGAGTCTACTGATTCTTGTGCCAAATTTACAAAGGGAGATATGAACATCACATCACATAATTTACCTAGTGAATTTAGATGATATTTTCGTCTAAGCAGGCCATGATCTCTATTTTAATAATGTTATTATATTTTTAGATTCTATTATAAATTCTGAAACTTTCTATTTAACATATGTCGAGCTTTCTTGAGGTATTTTGGAGATAAACATTATTTCTTTGAAAATTTAGACAAAATAATCTATCACGTGAATAATTAACTATCTTTCAAGAATTAGAGGTTACAATCTGAAATTTCTTATTACATAAGGTTTTTATTATCGCAGATCGTGTTTGCAAAATTATTTATTTGAAAAGTATATAAATGGAACCCCGCGTATTTTAATATGGCTATAAAAAATCGATTGATTCTTGATCGAAAAGTATTACACACCAATACCTATTTTAAACCATTTTGGAGTTAAAAGCAAGAAACTAGAATAATGCAATTTTTAGTAGTAAGCCATGGCGATATAGTATGACAGATCTTTAATTTAGTTAATTTACTAAATTTATTTTATATTCACGGTCAAGTATAGTAATATTGCAACAAATAATAATAATAATAATAATCAACTTTATTTCACAATGTGACATAAATACATTACATAAAAATAATATACTAAACACAAAGGAAATCGGCGTCAAAAAAGAAAAAAGCACTAGATATTCTTACAAATTTCAACAATTATTTAAATATGACAGAAAAAATCTTCTATGGAGTAAGGTTATAACTCTATCAATAACTTTTTTATTGTGTATTTAAAGATTTTTAGATTGGCAATACATGCATAAATTCTTCCGAAGAATGAAAAGTTCAGAATAGCGATAAGCTTTAAAAATTATATTCTACTATAAATTTTATGCATACCCTCAGTGCTATAAACAAACAAAGAAACGTAATACATTCATAAGTAACACTACAATTTTTTCAACCAAACGACCCTAATCAGACTTTGAAGTAGATCCAAACTTATGAAAAAAAATTATTGTGTTACAGAAATCGCTATTCGGTTTGTTATGTCAATAAATCGATGTTTGAATATAAATTCGCCACATACATACACTTTTTTAATAAATTGTTAAATACCATCTAATTTGATTGTCAAAATATACCGTCATGGCTTACTATTAAAACAGTCATATTTGAAATGATATATGATAAATGATAAATGAATCATTCACTAAATTTACATTTTCACATTTTGCCAACATTCTGTAAGCGATAGCTTAAATCTCATGTCCATACAATACCTCAGCCTATTAAGAAGCTGTAACGAAAATTTCAGATTTGCATCTAAAACTGTAGAAAGATCATGATCATCATGATCATCATGATTTTCGCAAAATTGTTTAGAAAAAACAAGAGCTGTAGAAAGCTTTTTTAAATTTTGAATTTTGTAATTTAGTGTTGGAAATAGAATGATTATAAATATTATCTTTCCTGGACGTCGGGCGTCTGATAAATATCAAGATGTTATTTAATAAGCGTATAGAGTAATATCATGTACAAATTTACTTTTTGTGAGAGGGACACCTAGACTTTTTTCATGTTTAATATGTATCGATATTTGATTTGTAACGACATTATCCAATGATTTGTTAGTGTATCAAACCGATGTTTTTTTTAGGAAGTTCTCGGTGCCGAAGGTATATCCCTTCAATTCAGACACATAAGCAGCCATCTCTTGTGGTGCTGTGCTGTTCCTACCATACCAAAAACCAATGCAAAAGAATCTGACAGCAGCGCTAAAGCCTACGAGGATCTTTTGCACGAGGTCATTATGGTTAGCGGTTATTTTGCAATTGGAAACGTTGAAAATCAGGTAAGGGTAGAAGAAGAAACATATTCGAAATAAATTTAAATTATTAAAAAATTATTCCAACAATAGACTTGATATAAAATAATAATAAAAGTACACAAAAATTTTGTTTCAAAACCTGTTGCTTTTTTACGTTTGATATAATGTTGGAAAAATAGATCTAATTGATAAAATCTATATAGATGGGACACGCAAACAACGACTAAGAAATACATTGTGTCCGTAATGGAAATAATATCGATTGAAATTAGGCAATAATAACGGGGCGAATGAACGATCAACTCGTTCCTTTTTAATAATTCATTGGCAATCGATTCATTGTATGTGGTTGGACTTGTATCTGAGCATCGTTAATCCTTTTGTAGTCCTAATGGAAAATTTACATTAACTTAATCATATGTTTATGGTTCAAGTAACAAGTTTGGTTTGGTTGCATTTTATCGAAAAAGTTTCTACCGTCCTTCTGATTTGTAATCTTATTTAATTAATGTGGATATCGCCCGAGTTGGTGGTAGCGCCGCGATGCTGTTGTACGTCCACTACCACAACCACAAATGTCTTTAATTGTTGTTGCTAGTAAATAACTGTCTTTAATTGGTTTATTCGGTATCTTTCACTTGTACACGTCACTGTTTTCTTGAAATAATGTGGCAACCATTATCAGCAGTTCATCATATCAAGCAATGATGATAATGCCCTGTAGCTTACACTGTTGCTAAATTCTTTTTATTTTATTAAACGCAGGGTAATTTGTTAAAGATCTATATGGCTGATGGTTTTAAAAACTGGTAATTTTCTACATACTTGTATTGTATTGGTTAGTGTAGGTAAGGAAGTAATTTAAATTGCAAATTTCAGATATGGCCCTTTTGTACCTAGAAGTAACTTTGAATGTAACGATACTTTAGGGTAAGTCCAGTAGAGTTGGACCACTTTTCGTTTAAATGGAATAAAAATCCAAATATATAATTAAATGCAAAATATGTATTTAACCTGAGGCGAAAAGTTAAACCACCAACTTAAAAAATATTTTTGTCCACTCGCTACTCTTATAGCCACTTATAAAGCTTACAGATATTGTTATTTCAAGATGTCAGACGTTCATTACGCATTATTTTAGTCACGGATTTGGGAGTGATCGGTTGTTTTCGGTAGATTTTAGTCATGGTTTCACGTTTGTCAATTAGTTAATGTATTTGTGCTGTTTTTCCAAAAATGTACCCAAAAAGCAATGATCGTAGAAAAAATATAGTATGCAGCACTTCGATCAACTTTTTCAGTCATTCACAAGCTTGTTACTGAAATGGCGTTTATCAAACTTATCGGATAATATACTATTTATCTTGATAATCATTTTCCAGGAAACATATTTTGAAATGTTTTCATTAGTAGTTGATCGAATCATCCTAGCAGCCGAGTAAACACAATTATATTTTTCAACCTCCAATTCTTCTAGTCTATCATCAACTCATTCAAGATATCATCGTCTGCCTCTTCGTTTTCCATTTTCTATTAACTCTTTTTAACCTTCATACGTTCTAAATTTTTTGTAATATTTTTTATCCCTTCTTTTCACCCATTTCCTCTGTTCGTTTGATATCGTGGAAATTCAGTGCAATTATGAAACTGTTTCCACGTCAACATGATCTGCAGAACCATAAAATAAAAAGTGGCAGCAGTTACTACCAAATTTTTCCACGGTCAATCCAAAAGGCAATTTTATTTTAAAGCTTGAATATTTCGCATGCCGTCGCAAGCAACAAGTTTGATACACGCCATTTTAGTCACAAGTTTTATTTGGTTTGTTTTTTTTTAACGACCAGAAAATTAAGATATACAACGTGTATAAAACAGTATAAGGATGTGGATTTAAAATTTTTGGAGATGGCCCTCTCATCCTGAATTATTTTATGAGATAACCGATATTTATCGAATTGTTTGAATATTACGCTACGAATTATTTGCACCTTGCAAAAATTAGAGTTAACCTCGCAGTTTGAGTTTGGAGTTCTTTAAAACAATAGGTACTTCTAGATGTTAATAATGATTATCTATTTAGAGCAATCCAATAGACTACGTATTTGGTATATATTTTGGTATATATATTATTGTCTTGTCTGACATCAACAGGACATTTATTAATAAATTTCAGACTGACTTAGTATCTCCTCTTTCGTGACAAAATATTTAAACATTTTACAAACTAATGTTTATTTCACAAAATCGTCTAAATTTTGAGGTTTTTAGGACTTGGAAGAGTTGAGTCGATTTCTAAATGCATATCCGGTATGAATTTACTCACGACACTGTTAAAGTGAGATTCGACACTATCGGATGATTGATTTAAGTCACTATCACCTTTGTAATAATTTTCAATGTTATAATTTATCGAATTTAGGTTTTTTGGCAAGATTAATGTCGGAGAAAGCTGAAAGTTAATTTTTTTCTGTCTAGTACGATGGAGCAATTATATACTCACGATTTGGTCGATTGACACAGCCTGAAATGGATTTCGTTATACTAGGTGTCTGGAATTAAACTGCTTAACACTATTTGCTTTAGATGTACCCTCTCTGTAATTCAATGAACTTAAATTTACAAAATTGTTTAATTTATTTTAGTTTTTTTATTATTACTAATTCTGTCATTTTACAAAGCTTGAAAATTTAAAGAACTTTGAATAGTAATCAATAATTATTAAGCACCATTCATTATTATACATTTATCATTTTTTGGTTAATTCGAAGCATTGAGGATCGTTTCTGAACAAATTTTGTATTTGCATGGATAAACGTAGCCACTAAACAGACGAGTTTTTATTTCTACATTTTGCAATACCAAAATGTCGGACGTGAAAAATTTTTTAAGTGTAATATTTTGAAGGATAACACTCCTATTATACTCCAGTCAGGGCCGCTGAGCAGTTACGTCACGTATAGTGACGTAATCTAAAATGATCCGTATCCTACCATTTAGATGCGGATTTCAAAACTGACAAACAAAATTCTTCTGTCAATTTACGACATCCAGTAATGAACTAGATAAAGGTGTCATGCTATGACATAACTACGCAATAGGGAACTTTTAATTTGAAAAATACTGCTTATAAGTATATACTATTAAAACAACCACAGTTCACAAAAAAAATCAATTTAGGTGAGGAGCGGATTTGGTTTGTTGTCTAACACAAACGAGACATTTATTAATTAACTTCAGACTGTCTTAATACTGACGATAACCAGCTCAACACGCAGAAGTCCATAGTTCGTTGTTTTTTGTTCGCTTTAACTGAACATTCAGCAAAGGTTAAGAAGTTAGAAGATGTGGACGGCCTAACCTTGTTCTCTATTTTCTTTAAAACCAAAACATGGTCCTCCATTTGTTGAGTGAAAGCAAACGTTTTAATGCAACAAACTAGAAAGTTAAGGTTATATGTTCCGCTACAGGAACTTCTCGCGATCCCACTCTCGAAAAAAAAACGCCAGCAATAATTAATCAGATGTCCGACTACCGGCCTGCTATCCGTACAGCGTTCGGCCCAATAAAATGTCCATGGCACTCGTACCAGTTGCCATACTCGTCATTTACCTGCTCAAATGGAATGTTAAGTGACTTTGTATCTCCCAAAATAATGACGAGAACGATAAGTTTACCTCGCGTTATTATAGTCGACCTCGGTATTCTCGGAAGAACTCTGAAAAACGTTCTCCCCGATTGGCTGCCGGTTCTATCTTCTGTGGCCGGTCGGAACGTAACGAAAACAATAAATTTGATATAAAACACGCGCTCTCGTCTGCCGTGTGAGTTATGGGGGGACGCCTGTGTCGGGCGTCCGCCGCTATTAAGATAGCGAGGGCGCCATATAGGTTTAGATTTTTGGAACCTCTGCTTGGCATCCCGGGTGACAGAGTCACAGCTTACTTGGCACGCTGTTTCAAGATTTTAGGAATAAAAAATCATCGACATTGCAAAATTGCCAGATCCTACATAAATAAAATCTAGTTTACGTCCGGGCGTAAGTTTGCCAAAAATTCCACTTTACAGCTTGGGTCAGGCAATCCAACAAAGGATTATAAGCACGACAAATGAGACAGGTTGTCCCAAATATGTTCTTAATTATTATTAAAAACGCCCTTTATTTTAGATATCTTTTCCAAAAACTGTTTGGAGATAAATATTAAATTTTAAAAATTTAGTTCGAATTTTATGTTAAGCACAGATATAAAATATGTTCCATTTAAAATTACCAACTTTCCACTAGTTTTCATATCGATCTGGCAACGTTGCATCTACAGAAATATTTACAAAATATCACCTTTTTGCAAAACTTCTGAATTCCTCATGCGTCGGTTTTTATTGACTCGAACTTGCTAACGTTTCGCCAATCATCCTGTTGGCTTCTTCAGACCTTGACTGAAACTGGCTCGCATTTTACTCTGTACCTGCTTATATATTGTTTGAGGGGGCCGGAGCTAAACGAGGATGACTGCTTCCCATATTGATGACAGGTAGAGATCTGAGTCGCGGTTAAGATTATTAATAGATTTTTCGTTGCTAGAAGAATTCATACAGACGGATCATATTGTCAACTTTAAAAAGAGCCTATGTCATCTAGGGAACGCAACCTTAAGGCTTCTTCTCTATCAGACTCCGTGAAAAATTCTCCCCAGATGACTCTAAAATTTCTCATCTCTACGGGACTCCCAACACAAAGCAGGACCTTCGACCTATTGTCAGCACCATTGGTTCTCCCACATATTCTCCAGCAAAATATCCAGCTTCCTTATTAAAACCCCTTACAGGGAAAACTGATAGTTTCGTACTTAATTCCTTTCACTTCATTGATCGATTAAATAGCGTTACATTAAAATCCCTCTTTAGTAAAGTTCCTATTTCTGAAACTCTCATCATCATTTCAGATATATTAAAATCCAAGAATCTGGAACCAAACCTTCTCACCTTAAGTTAAAAATGCTTGTCTGGAACATATTTTTCTAATAAAGCTTAAATTTTTGAACAAACGTCGGGCACAGCTATGGGTTCTCCATCTAAAACCAAAATTATGTAAACGTTGCGTCGATGAAATTGAATGTTATTTGGCCTCATGGTCAAGAATCCCTAGTAGATTTTCTTAGAAATTTAAAAACTCTATACACACTAACATACGTTTTACCTTTGAATAAGAAACTAATAACATCCTCCCATTCTTAGATATTCTTATCAATAGAAAATCAGACCTCACATTACAGAAAACCTACGCACACAGACCGATACATTAATGCATGGTCACCACCATCCGGCCCAAAAATCATCGGTTATCAACTCTCTTGTTTACAGAGCCGTAAAACTATCTCAGCCCGAGTCACTGAATCCAGAATTAAAACACCTTACCTCCGCTCTTCTCTCTAATAATTTTCACATTAAAGATATTAAGCGTGCCATTACAAAATACATTTCACCACAACCTTCAAATAGTACTAAAAAAACATTATTGACCACATATCAAAAGTTCTAAAGAAACCAAATTTACCACTTGTCCAAAAATCTCTCAACATCTTCGATCCGTCAAAGTCAAAATTCAGAAGTGTTATAAGTAGCCTTTGGAAGTTTCTTTGTAAAATATCACCTATTTTCAGTCAGTGTAATTTGAAAATAATTTTAATTAACCTGAACTTTAATCAAATTGTTAGATTTATAATAGCCACCCTTAAAAACACTCGAACGTATTTACGTATTACTTTAATTATAAAGCTGGACTGATAATTGTTTTTTTTTTTTGTTACGAACAAAACATACATCAGAATTAAAATTTCTCATGCGTGGTTTGAGAACAACACATTGTATAAACAACTTTTATCGACGAAATTAATTCAATTTTGCATTTTGTTTCAGATGTTACTAGTTAGTGGTCAGCCTCCATCCGTCCTACAGCAACTGTGCTCTTTGCCTTTTCCTTATTTTTCCGTTGAAACTTTATCTGTCGTTTTATATCCCACACTGCTGGCGTGTTGTGTAGGCAACGAACATACAACAGCTTTGCTTAAACAAGAACTGTCATATGATGTAAGTACGTGTACGCCCAAATTTAAGGATTTTAGTATTTCCAGGGACTCACTTATCTCGAGATGTGAATCGAGGTAAAAAAAAAATCCTTAAAAATTTGAAGTACTTCTCCATGAAAACTAACCAACTTCAATTTAATATCAGTCTTGAAATGAGTACTGAAAAAGTTTGCTTTTACTTTACTTCGTTTTCAGATTTTGGAAGATTTTCGAAAATCCGCCTGTGGAAAAGAACATCGGCTTGTAAAACTACTTGACAAAAATTAAGAAGCCAACATAGTATTAACTATTTTATTACAAATCTCGTTTTCGTGCAATCGGATAATACTTCGATCCTGTAGTGATAAAAATAATTATAGTTGTAACCATATATTTTTACAACTTTCCTAATATTATATTAAAAAATTGATATATATTACCCGGTTCAACAAACAACTGGTCCGACTCAACCAAGTGCATTATTACTGATCAAACTGAATCTACAGCATTACAGTATGATACAGTTTAGTGAGCGATGCACTTGTGAGTCATTCAGTAACGTCACTATTTAAAAATATTAAAATAGCCAATAGCTTAACTGGCGCCATTGTGTGCATCTAAATGGTTAAAAAGGGGGGTAGTGGGGGGATGTGGGAAGAAATCATGATGGTGTTAAATTGGCGGTGCCCCGTAACCCTTCAGTTTTCCATATCATTGTGCGCACAGGGTGATTTTTATCCTTTGGAGTTAATTTAAGAGCTGTTTTCGCATCCATTTTTAATTTGTTAAAAACTTTGTAAATTATATACTCCATTGCTAATGATAATTTAAATAATTTATGCTAATATATTATGTTTAATTAACTAACAGTGTTAATCTTTCACGCAATAAAGAACTTAAAAAATGATTTTGCGTTATTTTGAATTAACTATTTTTTCGGCCCTTTCCCTAGAAAGCATATTGGCTAGTATGCAGCGCAGTGTCCACGACTAGAGATTTAACGGTTCGGAACAATTTTGGAAAAAAACACGGGTTTTTTCCGTTTTTTCCCAAACCTCGGAAAAATTGGAAAAAAACGGAAAATTTGACTTTTTTAAAATTAAATGGTAGGCAGCTAAACGAGTTAATATATTATGATATAAATGTATATTGGTTAGAATTGCTTCAATAAAAAAAAAACAAAATTTAAGATGCGTACTTTATTTGAAAATAATAAAAAAAAATAAAATCTCTTGGTCAGCAATACATAAACTCTGGAATACATAATAAACAAAAAAAATGTATACAAAAAAAAAAGAAGAACTGACACACCCCTGAAACCCCTTTTTTTTCGGCCACCAATTTTTGAATCACTATCCACGACAAACGTCATAATTTAATGATTAATCTTCATGGTTAACTCCTGCGTCGGTTGTTGTTAAGTCGACCTTGCTAACGTTTCGCCAATCATCAATTTTTGATAATTATATATTAATATAACGACAAGATAATTATTTAGTCAATTGGACGAAAATCGGAAGAAATCTAAATATTCCCAACCAATTATTACAGTTGTTTTTTTTTTGTAAAATTTTTCAAATTTTCCACTTTCTCTTTTTTGATTTAAAAGAAATGACTGAGAATTGAAACCACAATCTACAGTGAGTTACAAATAAAAAGTCATTCCGCAACTACCCCAAGGGCAACCCAAATGTATAAAAAACAAAGCATTTTATTCAACCCGGTATATTTTCAGAAATAACGAGATTATAAAAAATGTATTACGGGTTCCGTTTTAAAACGGGTTATTGAATTACCCGAAAATGCTGAGGATAATCAACACGTAAAAAAGTACATACGAATTTTTATTTGTTCAATATCTTAAAAAACAATTGCGAAATGTCGCATGTTGCCACTAAAATAAAAATAAAGCAATTGAGCTTGCAAAAGGCTTTTATTAGTCTATAAACACAACAATCATGTGAATACAGCTTATATCTCTTTAATAATAAAATACAATAACAACTAACCCAATTTAGAACAGCAAAAATTTCAACTATAAAAAAATTATGAAAAATTTTAAAACAATCTGCACAGCGATTTCTCGCGTGAAGTATACAATTTTTACTAACTTTCCAAAGTGAAAGGAATCCTACATGAAGGCCTGAAATGATTGTAATGTCCGTTTTGGAAACTTTTTTTAAACGACCGTGATCTGTTTCTAGAAATGAGTATCTTTTTATTTCTTATAACTTAAACTACGATGAAATCCTCATCTACCATACAGAATTTAATTGTTTGGCAGGTCCTATACGTTTTCGAATACATCTTTTAATTCATACTATAAACATCTCGCAACAACAAAGATATAGTAAGATTACATGCTTGATTTGTAAAATAAAAATTCGTTTTCTGAAATAAAAAAGAACTTGCCTTTTGTCCCATGGTAAGATAAAAGTCAATATTTATTAAAACTTGAGTAAAATATCATTAAGAAGATATCATTATTGATGAATCCGCTTGAAAAGTGTTTTTTTGTCAGTTGATTACAAATATCGCAGGCTATGGGTGTTGTCCAACTGAACACCTTTCATCGGGCGTTTAAATATTCTGTGACAAAAGGAAAGACGAGAATTCTTATGCAATTTTATATACATCTTTTTGAGAGAGTATGATGCAGAAATTTCTGTATAACCTTTTTCCTTGGCGATAAATATTTCCATGAAATATTGAAATACTGATAACTTATTATGTCTTGAAGAAGTAGTTATTAATGGTTGATTAATTTCGATTCCACGATAAATTAAAGAATTTCTTCTGGATCGATCATGGACCATTTACAAAAGACAGTTCAGCTAATCTTATTTGCTTTGGTTAGTACCACATCCATTAAAATCCGTTCTCTGCTAGGTGCTGATGAATTTTTGGAATAAAATTTACTTTTTCTAAGACACTACAATGTTTCTATTTTTGGCGTGTATGGTGATTTTTAAAATTTTTGTTGCACTGTAGGCCCTGTCTTCTCATGCACCACCCCACTGTGTCTGGAAACCAAGTTTTATAATGTATGTAAGAACGCGGCTACTAATCTCTTCATATTAGAATAGGATGCAGCCTCTCAGGCTAATTGAACAACGGTGTATCTTTTTACAAAACACTCGTACGCGAGTCGCAGCGCAGTTTCCAAGTGTATTATACATCCGGAATGCAAGAGAAACATCTATATCTTGAAACCGCGCCGGCATTTTCTCTCCGCGCCGAGACAAATTTATAAATAACTTTTACACGATGTATATAAATTGGGACAATTTACGAGTTCACACATAAGTATGGGTTTTATTAAGATATTGCCGCCGTAAGCGGATGGATGAAATTTATAGGAAATACCAACTTCCCATTCTCCTGAATCAGAAGTTTATGGACGCCATTTCCTGCCATATCGGGAAGAATATTGTCTAACATTATCCGTGCGGAACGTAAATCCGCAAGTTGAGGTTGTGAATAAACCAATTATACAGAGTGATTCATGCTGAGTGTTCTACTATAACTTCTACAGTGTTGAAAATGAATTTAAAATCACATGAACTCGACATGTAAAGTTAATTTAAATTGACACGAAAATAATTCCAATTCCATTATTGCGGTATTTCTGAGAATTATTGACTGCCGACATCAAGCATCAATTCAGCAATATTTAATGTTACGCGTGTGTAGAGTTTTCAGTTAGTTAAATTCAGTTCAAAATATTTAATTGGCAATTTAGGCGATACATAACACAGTAAATAAAGACACTGGACAGCTAAATCCAGCTTAGCTGCTCATTTAACCACTATCACAATTAAAAGAATATGTCGTTATTATTAATTAACAGGACAAAGTAACAGTATTTTTTTAGATTATTCTTAAAAGACTTGGCAGATGCACATGCGTTAACAGTGCAGGGATACACTGTACACTTTAATTGCGTTATAACTAAGGAACGGAGAAAATGCAAAATGATTGTTTTGCATTTTTTGTCTGTTTTGTACAAAAAAAGCATTTTTTCCAATAAGAAAGAATTTATTGCATTTTATTGCCAAATAAATACCCTGTGCTGCCGTTTTCCACACGGCATGTGTTTATTAGTTTACTGCCTTACAATGGGACCTACACAGGTAGATTCGTAGAATTATCCAGGATTTAAAAATTCAAGTAAAAAAAAAGTATTGTGGATCAGCATGTAAAATCAGTAAAAAAGCCATCTTAAGGGACCAAAAATGCAACGAGGAGAACCTTGGCAAACAATACAACATTGTCTTGAAGAAAAACCAAAACAGCGAACAAGCCCAATTTAATCAGGACTTATGTAAAGCATTCATTGGAGTCAATACTTAAAAAACTGGGCAACCTCAATTTAAGATCACTTTTAACAAAATGTTGCAAATTTAGGTTACCGGACGAGTAAACTGTACGTAAAGGCCAGCAAGATAAGCAAAAAAGGAGAAAATTATTTCTATCTGCATAACGTATTTCAAGTTACTGTTTGGCTCATGGTATCAATAGAATGGTAGAATAATAAGAGACCAGTTTCCATTGGTAAATTATTTAATTAATCAAGTAAAAAAGTATTTCTAAAAGCAGCACAACCAGTAATAACCCGCTGGGGAACATGGTTCGCTGCTGCTAGATTTTATGCAGAGAACTTTGAATTAGTTAAAACAGTTATCGAAGATCTAAATGAGTCATCTTTTGCCGCTTTAGTAAATGCAAACCCTCTTTTTTATAACCCAAGAATGAAAGAAAATTTAATATTTATAAAAAAAAATTCAAAAAATATTTCAGAAGTTTTTATATGCAGAGAACCGGAGTTGTATAAATTAGAAACAAATTTAATCCCAAAAGTAAAATACTAGCCGATAGCTGCTGTAGATGTCGAACGAAGTTTTTAAACATATATTGATGAACGACACAATTTTCTGTTGGAAAATTTCGAACATACCTATACAAAGAATAGTTTGTAAATTTACGAATTGTATGTTGCGCAAGTTGCAAGTTGCTATTATCTGAGTGTGTCAATGATATTGTTGATTTATTAATTGTATGGATTTTATGTTTTGCAATCTGCTATGTAAGTATTTAAGCATAAAAGACCCATTACTTTTTTTCATTTATGTGTGTTCAAATATTGCATATTTTGTTCATTTCGATGAAATTTTTATGCATTTATATAAGTACCTGTTGGAGTTTTTCGATTTTTTCTGATCTCGAGTTATAAGGATCTCTGACACGCAGCGGTAGTGCGCTCAGGAATCCGATGCAGTTGTCCATGCCGTGTAACACGCTCACCGATGTCGGATCCTTTATCAATTTAACAACTAATAGGAAGGTTCAGATTATTCAATTTTTTATTATACTTTTATGTACAAATGAACCAATGAACCATATGTGTTCTCGTAAAAACTGCTCGATTCCTTCAATTTCATTTAATTCATACTATAAACATCTCGCAACAACAAAGATATAGTAAGATTACATGCTTGATTTGTAAAATAAAAAGTCGTTTTCTGAAAAAAAAAAAGAACTTGCCTTTTGTCCCATGGTAAGATAAAAGTCAATATTTATTAAAACTTGAGTAAAATATCATTAAGAAGATATTATTATTGATGAATCCGCTTGAAAAGTGTTTTTTTGTCAATTGATTACAAATATCGCAAGGTATGGGTGTTGTCCAACTGAACACCTTTCATCGGGCGTTTAAATATTCTGTGACAAAAGGAAGGACGAGAATTCTTATGCAATTTTAAGACGAAAATGTGTTACAAATTTTTAAAAACTAAAATTCAATGCGTTTTCTATTTATTAGTCATTGGGGGCCAACGATATTTCAGTGTCATTTGGTACACATAATAATACTATTAATTCACTAGCAGAGATGCTGGTAAC